TGTACCACGCGCACCAACACAAACACACCTCAAAGTCAGCTATATGCACGCAAACACCCAATATCTACATGAACCCACAAGTAAACACCCAACTTTCACACTGTACCACGCACACCAACACAAACACACCTCAAAGTCAGCGCATGTGTATTCCCTGTTCATCACTTCCAGTACGCGGTCATTCGCGGCCTGGATGGGAATGTGCAGGAAACGGTACACCCGAGGGTGCACCAGTATCTCAGCCATCGCCTCCTTGTGCTCTTGGATGTAGGGGGGATTGGTCATACCTGTAGGGTATAGAGTTTGAGGGGAGTAGAGTGTATAAGGTTTCAGATGTAGGTAAAAGGAAATATAGGGGAGATTTGTCATATCCGTAGAACAGCCGTGAGAGGAGTAGGTATAGGGTTTTAATTGTAGGTGTTCGCGGATATAGGAAATGACTAGTCGTACCTGTAGAACGTGAAATATCTAGGGCTTAGGGTTTAGGATTTGAGGCAATATGTGTGACAGGTACGGGTGACATGGAGATGTGCACCGAATAATGAGTTGTGAAATCGATCGGCGCGAGGTAGTGAAACCCTAAACCCTAAACAAACTATGTAATGCTGATTTGTATACTCAGCTGAGAAACATGCAGTTGAAGTGGACAGCGCTGTGTGTTGAAAACGCTACACCCTTGACTATAGAATACAAGGCTTGGTATAAGCAGGCTGCGTCAACAAACAACTATATGTCACTACTGGTAACAAAGGGCCCAAGTATGACACGATGCATCTCTAAACGGATGCATGGTAGAGGTGAACGTACCTATCCTCAGCAGAGTACCCTCGGGCATCACCGCGACTATCGCCCACAGAAGCTCTGGTAATGTTCGGCCGATGTCTTTGCCGTACGCACCCGTATCCTCTGAACTGAGCCAGATCTGCCACGGGATAATTCAAATTTGGGCACATGTACAACGCGAGTCCAGATTTAGGAATATATAATAACATATGGGTATATATAATGATATACAGGGACATATACCCTATACATATATATCTATCAATATACACACATACCTTCGCAACGTTTGTCACCTATTGTATGCTAGGCACGTGTAAAGTTGCAGAGATTTCCGTGAAGAAACCATGTGGCTCCTATTGATAGTTCGTTCGAGGGGTGTCCTATATCTGAGTACTACCAGAGATACATTCAAACGATTCGTGCTTCGGCCGCGCCTTCAATTGAGAACTCTTCCACACAGCCCACATTCTTGTGTTAAGGGTTCTTAGGAGTTTTGACTTCTCCAACGAATACATCCTTAACTCACAGAGTGCGGAGTTGGAGTTGCTGCTCGTGCAATTTAAACACTCAAACGTCCTGTTCTAGTGTACAAT